CACACTGTAAAAAATGTGCACTATCTGAAGCTTTCTATATATCTATTGCTAGATTAAACCATTCGGAACTCCACTGGTGTCAAAGAAGGAAAGTTAGTTGCTTTCGGTGTGTATTTAATAAAGTATTTGAATACGACGTTGAAATTAAGGGTACGGTGACCGATCGCATAATATTAAAACAATTAGAAAAAGAAGATTGAACAAACCGAAATAAAACTAAGGTAGTAGGTTATATATAGTTATATAACTTGTGACATCTTAACTTGAGTTGAATGATGAATTAAAAGTGAAAGTTGAATGTTCGATCTTGAGCCAAACTAGTTTACTAAAAAATCTTTTTAGCTATAGCACACTATTTGACGTGCCTATTTACAAAAACTGAATGGCGATTTCCCACGTAAACGTAAACGTTGCTAAAGTTATAAAAAGTGGAACGGAAAGGTCATAGTCCTAATTCCTAGTCATCTTCATCTCTGCTTAAATCCCTGTGTAACTGAAAAAAGCGCGTCTAAGTCCTCTTCTTTAATTTTATAGAACAAATCAAAGCCTATTTGGTTTCAGAACAAATTAAAAAGCGTTACTTGCATCCTTTGAAAGGCCCGGGCCAAACGGCGAACTTTTCTTATGCCGAATATGCTGCAAGTTTTGCGCGAACATGGACCTCAAACTTTATCTGAAACTATTCTATGAGAAATACGTTATAAAAATTTACGCGATAAGTTTGGAAAATGATGAAGTCGGTGGCCAGACGGAAGTCGCTCCATAGCTGCCCTAAAGTTAGAATTCACGGGAACAGGAGGAACATATATTTTGATTGAATAATTCGCATGCCGTAGATCTGATGTCAAGAGAATTTTGAAATCGACATTCTCTTATTGATGTTCTCAATTTAAGGTACAAGGTTTTCTTCATGGAAAGTTCGGCGTGACTAAGGACAAGAAGTCAGTGAATAGTTGCAAATCAAATCGTGCTCGGCCTCTTTGTGCCGTGAGAAAATTTCTGTGAGAATAATGGAAATGTGCCGGTTTGTAAAAAATAACCAATGCTGCTATTTTTATTTTACCATTTATTACCTTGCAAGATCTACAACAAGTCCGTTCAGATTTCAGTGCGCAGCGATCCCAGCAGCCAGCTCTCTCACAAATGATGTACAGTAGTTTTCATGGCAGCTACTCTAAAAATCAGCTTCTTTCCAGGAGGACACAGCAGTTGAACCCTTATAGAAAACTTTGAGCAGCTTACACGCTTCTCTGATCGCCACATGGAAGGAGTCGAAGTGGAAAAAGTATTCTTGTAATGCAATGAATCGGTTCGGAAATGATGCACTGGTTGGGTGTGAGTTCTAAGGCCTTAAATTTTTATGCGGAGTTTCCCGCTGCTCAAGGAGTGATCCGTTTTTTCATTTCTGTTTATCAGAGTATTTGAGTTCACCAGAAGAGAGCTGAGAAATAATTCTTTAACCCTACCCATGGTGAATTTAAATAAATAAATTAAAAAAAAAATTCTTTTAAAATTCGTGACTTCAAATGAGTCGTTAATGGGCTACAACTTACCCATACAAGATGCCTAATATACCCTGGGGCAATTGCTGATTCATTGCCAAACATCTCAGGCGTGACAGTCAAAATAAAAGTGATCTACTCTTAATGCCACTTCATGACATTTGGGTGTGCTATATATAGAGGGAATACTAGCGTCTGGCTCGATGTGCTTTCTGTGATACTCGGAAGCAAATATTTCGCGGACTGAAAAGATTCTACTTAAAGTTCAGTGAGTATAAACTCTCTTGTTGGTTTAACCCGCAACAAATAGATCCATAGCTAGTCGATATCATATTTACATTTTGTTCGTTTTGAAGTTGATGAAATAGTTATTGCCCCTTACAATAAGCCTTGTAGAGAGCGGCTGGGATATGTAGAGCGAGGTTATTTCGATTAGCAAATATCTAATTCCAAATCGCTAAGAAGCTAGTAATAGTTAGACGGAATGATAGCGATATGATAAGCGGCACCTTGATAATACGATAAGAGTGGATTAAGGGGAAAGATGAGCTTATTCTAAGCTGATGAACCCATTTGCACTCCGTGTAGTCTATTTCGATATTGTAGTGCGAAAATACAAAAACTTTCTACCACTGAAGGAGGTCTTTATAACGCCTCTTTGCTGAATAATTCTCAGACCGATATTGCTCTAATGGATAACCTGGACGTAAATGAAATATTTTCATAGGTCAATTATATGCAAGTCTCAGGTGAATAGTCAAGAAAACAAACGCACGAACCTCTGATAGCATAGCACTTGTTGCGCTGGTAATAAATCAATTAAGCGATAAATATCTCAGATCAAGGCAAATTTGAAACCGTATTGTCGAATTAATCTTATCATTTATAGCAAGGGGGCAAGCTTCAAAGGCGGTGAACTCGACTCTTCAATAATACCCTTTCAGTCTTACCAGCTCACTGATCCATTTTAATCATTTATCATCTAGACTTAATTTGCTTGTTTATTCTTGTTGGGGAAGTCAGGAGGGTTGTGCCTAAACACGTCAGATTACTTTAACAGTGTTTTACAGGATGGTAACGGAGATACACTTTTCGGAGTATTGCGGTTGAAAGACATTTCTTAGTCTCAGAGCCTATCCTGAGAGGGATTACCGGATATCTCAAGAGAGGCTGCAGTTATGGGAACAGATCTTTTAATTGAGCGAGCACAATGTTTAAACTTGATAGCTTCTCGAAGTATCAAGCAAACAAGCTGCTATCACCTACTGTGCAGGCATTTGTCACGCGTAAATCACGCGTAGCAGGGACATGCAACGAAACACAGAAAAAAATATCTTTCATTCGCAGGTGGTCATTAGAATGTCAATCAACAATAGATCTTCGTGCCAACAACACTTGCTCTTTAGCATTATTCACGGGTCCTGAAGACAAAATTCAATACTTATCTATTATTAGATAGTTTGATAATATTTTCCTATAATGATAATGAGCCTGAAGAATATATGGCGTTGTTAAATTAGCCTAAAATCTCGAAGTAAGGGACAAGTCGCCAAAAGAATTTGGCTCCATACAACGGGGCCTCTGGGACTTCTCTCCTTTGAACATTTATCAGGTTTAGTTTATGATTATTTTGACTGCACTATTGCATTTATGCTAGCATGGCCCCAATCACTTATGCTGCGTTCCTTATCGTTATCTTCACAGCCTATTAAAGGAGAAGATCAGCGTAGCGTCGTGATGGACTTCAAGTATATTTTCTCCGTTCCTCTTACCAAGCAGATGACAAAGACCGAAAAGTTTGTTCAGCGGTCTTGTCTTATGTTTTACTGCTTAGGAGGAGCAACATTTCTCCTATCACCGCAGATTGTGGGCATCGTTTTCACGCTGGACTTGGTGGGCCACTCTGATGGCTACCTCCGCTTACTAGGGCTCGCAGTGATCGAAATTGGCTTCATCTTTATCATTTCAGCGCGCTCATATTGCAGAGGGTCTCGCTATGCGACCATTCTGACCTCAGTGGTCGACCGTCTGGTTTGGGCAAATTTCATATCGTTAATGTTGGTCGAGAAAGGCTTGCTCCCATTTAGACTCTCCTTGTTTTGGATGGTACCCAATTCCATATTTGCATTGGCCATAGTGGTTATTTGGAGCCAGGAGACGAAGGATGCCTCTGTAAGCAAGTTTTTACAAGAAGTCACCTTGGACATAAAACGGTTTGAAATGGCTAAGACTGAAGGGCTGGTTGCTACTGTTTTTGTTCTGGGAGTCGTTCAATTCTGTTTCTGGTCGCTTTTAGTTATAAGGCCTGATTTTGCTGCGATAATATTCCAGCTAGATAAATTCAGTGGGTTTTCGCAAGGGTTTTTGGCTTCGTATTTCTTTGTGAGATCAGCCCATGGATTGCATTACATGATTGCTGCAAGCAATGGGAACCTGCGTGTTGTCTCTGCCTTTGTTTGTAGCCGAATCCTTTTAAATGTTCCAACGTTTTTTTGCTTGCTTATTTTTGATCAGATTGAGAAAAATTTGTTCATTGCATTGTTGAGTCTTGAGCTTTTGATTTCAACAATCCTTCTCACCATCATTATGCGAGCAAAGCCTTTCAAGGCAGACCACAAAATAGAATAGATCTAGTCACTGCCCCTTGATTTTCTCTTCAGTGTCATTGTCCGCGCGAAGCTTGGGTCCAAATAGGCGAGTAGCTCTCAGCTCTCGGTGACGTCACAGCCTACAATAGGGCCCAGTTTCTACCGCAAAGAGAACACGACGGACTGGCTGCATCTATTAATTGCCAGTTACATTTCATTTTTATAAATAAAGCAGTACTTCGGGTGAGGAAAAAAGGTAAATTAACTCGGACGGGCGGAAAAGAAAAAAAAAATCGTTATTGTCAACTAAATTCAGGAGAGACTTTCTCAAGTAGAAATCTGAAATTCTGAATAATCGGTAACTTTCGTTGAATTTGTTTGTAGTAACAATACACGTAAAATTACGTGTGTTCCTTTAGAAAATTTGTGCCCTCTGAAGTATTTTCCCTTAAGTGTTGCCTTTGGCAACCGTCGTTTTGATGCGACTTGTTAGCAAGTGATTATTTTGTATTTTAAACATTATCCAGCTTTTACATGTACACGAAAGTGCTGTAATTTAGTACATTGCCTGTGATTTTGTGATGATAAATATAGCTAATAATTTAGTCTAAAATTGAATTTCTAAACTGGTAATATTAATTTACACGTTTGATCAGTCTGTTAACTTGCGATAGCTTGCGAGGATTTTCAGGTAGAAGTCCTCTTCTTTATCAATATGAATTATCTCTGTGTCAAGAAAGGAAAAAGATGCAAAGTGTAAAGAAACAATTAAAATCTAATTTTAGTGAAATTAATTTCATCGTTATTTCCAAAACACACTTTTCTTTTCGGCAAATTTTGTTTTAATTCAACTTTCCTTTGTGGCAAATTATCTTTTACATTTTCATTTTCTTATTTCTCTTTTTTTTTTTCTTTTTAAATGAATTTATTCCACAAAGATATGTCTAGCCAGCAATACCCTGTTATCTCTCGTTGTCTGTTTAGCTAAAGCCATTAATTATGCTTTTAAATGGGTTCATTTTTGCAAAGTACAAGCGTTACTTAGATACAGAACCGTGACATTGATTTGAAATGGCTTACGAACTAAACCACCAATCATATGCAAGATATTTTTATCCCTGTGACGTTATACTTCTCCCGCTTAACAGCGTGCAATTTGAATTGCATAAAATTTTCTTTCTGACGGAAAGTCGAGCAACTGACGACATTCTCAGGCTGACCAACGACGAAACGAGTCACTTCGCAGCAAAAGGATGACCGAAACACGATAGTTGCTAAATACCAATTTTGGTGGCGGGAAGCGGGTGATGTCGACACACCAACTTTCCTTCTAATCACGCTTTTGTAGAGAGAGATTTTCCGTTGAAGAGATTGCCATATTTTGACGGAAAATTCCGTACACAAGGTACTTAATAATAATAATAATAAAAAAACGGAAGGAAAAGAAAGAAAAATAGCAATTACGAGACACTCATAAATGTCAATTAGATGGATTGCATAGACAGGTTTTGAAGAAGAATTCGGCTACTTGTAACAATGTTTTGTTTTCCTTATCATATATTACTACCATTATATATATCTTTCAGCTTAAGGCTTACTTGAATGCGAGGGCTCTACTTCAACCTCAAAATTTTAATTTGAATACATTATAGTTATTGATTTTTTTTCCCACTTAAGAGGCGTTAAGAAAAATTGATTTTTTGCAATGAATTGGTTTAAAATTTTTTAAAATGGTTTGATTGACCGTGAACTTTCTCTTGATTATAACCCGACTGAAAGTTTGTTCTTAAAGGATGAGGGATTTTTTCATGAAAAGGATTCACAATACGACTCAAAATTGTATTTTAGAAAACGAGGATATCACCATGGGAATTTGGTTCGCCAAACTTACGGGCCATACAGTTGACGCTTCACGATCATTGAAGAACCCACACGTGGTGGCCTCATACGCCCTGTTTTTTGGTTTCATCGGGTTCATTTTATTGGTGTGGATCAGTGCGTTTGTTTTGACCATTGCGAGAATTTGCAAAAAGTATTCAAATGTAAGGAAGCACGACGAAACGCATCGTACGGTAAGAAAGTTAAGCCTTTGAAGGTTTGTAAATCAAACACAATGCTGGTTGACAAAAAAACTTGATTTTCCAGTAAGGAAGGCCTTACACCAACGTTTGGGGGCATTCCACGGAATTGGGAGACTCGAGGATGAATAGGCGTAATAAATTACCTGAATTTTGTCGCTTGTGGTATTCACCAGTTTAAAACTCTTCAAAGAAAGAAAACAACAAAACATACCAAACCGAAAACAATGAAAAAAAATAAATAAATAAATAAATAAATGAATAAACAAATCTAGAACAAGGACAATAACAACAAATTCCACTCTCTCTCCCCCATAAAAAAATAGATAATCAAATAGTCAAAAAGACAAACAAACAAAGAGAAAACACTAGGAATAGGAAAAATTGCACAAACCCATGGAAACACAGAAAAATGAAATGAACCTGATTTTCTTTCTACAGTTTCGTTTTCATCCTCTATGATCTATGTATTTATACAGACAACAATTGACCTCCAAGTCGTAAAGAAAGTTGTCGGAGACGTAAGAGGCTATCAGAGCTACCAGCAGGCAGATATTGAAAGCGTGGAATTGTTAGGTCAGTGAAAGAAATGGTTTTGAAACATAAAAAATCCTTTTTTTTCCTATTAGGAACTTCAATTCTTTGTCAATTCTTAACGAATCGATGCTTTTCACACATGTATCATTGCCCTTTAAATAGAAATTTCTCAGTTCCTTTCATGGAAATAGCTATTGGGGAACGAAGTAAAGAATTTCATATATATATTTTCCAACCAAAGCAAGCAGCGATATAACGGATACAAATGGTTTTGTTGTATTGAAACACTAGTCATGCGATTGTCATACATCTCAGAAAAAGGAATTGCGAAATGCCTAATTAAACCTATTTTTTTTTAAATTTTCTTTTATATATCATGTTATGCAGGAGATAATCTCTTGTCTCACCATAGCAGAAATACAGCTTCTTCAAAGAACTTGATTTCATCTTTACGTGCTACTAATTTAATAACGAGTTCGAGGATTAAACGACACTTAAACGACACCTTTCTATATCCTTCGTAATGAAGAATTGGGTCTCTGAGCTCGTTACTGAGTTACAAGCAAGTCACTATTGCAACTGTTTCATACGGTACTCTCTACCGAAGCCCTAAGACTCAAAAAACCTTAAGAGGCTCTTTAATAAGCTATCAACAAGATATCAGATTGCTGCGAAGATATGATCTTTCTGGCGATCATTGAGAAAGTTTGAAATGAAAAGTTGTTGAAACTAGGTTTTTCAATTCTTGAGCATGTTATTCCATTCGACCGACAATACTCCGTTTTTTCTTCAGGGGTGTCCAGCGAAACACCAGCCAAGTTAGGAATCCAGTTAACTGGTGGGCCTAACGTTACCAGAAATGGCGAACCAGGAATATTTGTAGAGAATGTTAACTGGGGCAGTGTCGCCGAAGGAAAACTGTTCCCTGGAGACAAGATAATAGCGGTAGTGCGAAACTCTTTTCAGTCCGCTTAATAAAGAAAGAAAGAAAGAAAGAAAGAAAGAAAGAAAGAAAAGCAGAAAAAAAAAACAGAAAAACAAAGAAAAGAAAAGATATTTATGAAATAGGGAAAATAATAATTATTAAAAAAAGGGAAAAGAAACAGAAAAGTAATCCTTTTCCATTTAGATCAACGATGTTTACCTGGGAAAAGTATCTGTAAAGTACGCAATGGAAGCGATGCATGCTATGAAGCGAGCAGAGGGTCATTTGACAATCTCAGTCAAGAGAGCCCAACTTAGAGAGGTATGTTTCAAAAGTTACACACCCAAGATTGATTGGTATGTAACTTCTTAAACTATCTGAAATACGGACAAAATTTAAAAAATATAAGAGAACAAGGTTCCGGGAAACGTTTAGTGATAATTGAAAAATCATACAGTACCAATGTAATTATATGGTAAAGCTGCTATCTTAACCTAGCACCAACTTCAGACTTTTTTAAGAATGGCAAAATAATCAGCGAATTTTTTTTTTCGGTTCTCGGTGAGAATAAGGTACGTATCCGCCCATGTATAAATCGTCATAAGCGATAATAGACTTCATGGTGGAAAATGCACAGGAACGTTGATTTAAGAAAAGGAAGGATCTAAAAATATCTACATTCATAAAAGCTTTCGCGCAGTATATGGCCCATGTTAACGGCAATTTTCATTCAGATGACCTGTAATATCTTTCAGCAAAGGGTCAACGAAGCATTTTCAATGTACTGCGACGATGAAGATAGAGAAAAGCCATTTGTATTCAGTAAGGAACAGGTGGAAGGTAGGAGATTTTTTTCCCTGCGCCCGAGAGAAATGCCCGAAAGAAGGTATCTGATTGGAGAATGCATTTTACTCTTTGTTACAACAAATCGAAATCTTCTTATGCTTAGTATAATTCATCCTAAATACGCTGTTTTTTTTTTATGACAGAGGTGGTCGATACAATCATTTATTATAATCATTATTATTGTTATTTTTATTATTTTTATTATGATTATTTTAAATAAAGAGAAAAAAAAAACTAACTTGCTTGACAAGGATTTACAGGTGTGAGGATCCGTAAATGTACGAAAGTAAAATTATGATGATTTTTGATTTAAATATCGCCAACCAGCTACAAACTCGTTAATCGCCTTTTGCGCCACTCTGCTAGGTTGATGAATGAATAACAAACATGTCAGTAAAGGCCTATAATGTTAATATGATATACGTTGCTCGTGTTCAACTCGATATTTCATTTGTTCACCGCGTGCACCCGTGAAATATCGACTTGAAAACTCAAATAGAAATTCCATAGCTACTTGCGCCCATGTATTACTCTCTAATTAATTAACTCTAATGCATCAACGCATTCACTAAAGCAACGTACTGGTCTGTTTTTGCGTTATATCTCCTGTCAAAAAAAAAATGAGATAGTGATGACCATCTCCAATATCTTTCTTGTCTAACTATAATCTTATCGCAAAAAGAAACAATAGTTACAGTTTGAATACTGTAAATTTATGTTCATTTATTTGTTTTTGTTCTTGCAGTCTTCGAAGAAGCGTTCTCTATGTTTGACGCGAATGGTTCTGGGGTGATTCATTATAAACACTTTTTTCCGCTACTCCGAGACTTAGGCTACAACGTTCACAAAGAACAAGCTTGGTACTACATGAATAAATTGGAATTATCAGGTTTGTCACGTGATTTTCGAAAAAAAGACGTAAAAACAAAAGTTATACTGTCTATTGATAACATTCCTTTAACACTGAGATATCCTATTTGATATCTCAAGGAATTGGACAAAATGTGATACACTTCCATTGGAATGTTCAAACAACGCTGAGCTGAAAACAATTAACGTCACACACATAGGATGTTAATTTGTTATTCAAATTTTTATGCCACAGTCGAGAAAAGTATCTATCTGCGATAAGTACATTCTCATCGAAGTTACAAGATCTGATGTATTTACTTCACTAACTTATTCAAGATCTCCATTTTCGATGTCGTTTCAGACAAGCGAATGATAACTCTGAATGAAGTGATACAGTTACTGGAAGAAGTCACAGCAGAGCAGAAGGAGTTAAATGAAGTGCATTCTGTTTACAGCGTGTTCGACCCAGAACAGAAGGGTCGTGTGGCTCTCTGTGAAATACATGATGCTCTGAGCACATTGTACGGGCAAAAAATAACCGAGGAAGAAGTAACGGGAATACTTACTTTTGCAGACGAAGAGAATAACGGTTTTTGTAGAGAACAAGGTGCGAGACGAACATTTTAAATGATAAAGTTGCCAATGTTGCAAAATGATAGCGATGAATGAGGAAAAATTTAAAAACTGGTACTGAAAGTTTGGGATTTTTTTTCCTTATTTATTGCTGGAGGAGAACCAGCAAAATTTAAAATCTCAGGAAGTTATGTTCAAGCAGTTTGCCCCCGAGTACGCCAAAGTTGAAGGACCATATTGTCTCTTTGACTTCAACATATCCTTTTTGGCTTGCATTTTCAAGTTTTCATGATGACTAGGTGTTTGACAATATCTTTTGGCCGCTTTCATCTACAAAATATTACTGGCCTTCACTCAAAACATTCATTCACATATTCATTTGTTTATCCGCGTACAGATTTTGAAAGGCTGCTTCTACCTTCACTAAAACTTTATTAGAATCTCTGAAGATTTTTAAAAGAAGAAGAAGTGGGTCGAGCCATTCTTGCGCAGACGCGAACACAAGGGCGAGCTGGCTTTGGGGATCAATTTCCCGCCTCTCTCTTGCAGCAAGGAAAAGAATGAACTACATACGTTTTAAACTATGCTTCGATGGACCCATGATAAAATAACGTTGAAACAGTAGCTATTAAAAGCTTCTTACGAGCTAAACAAATCCGATTTTATGAAGTGTGCGTTCTCTGAAATTCTTGAAAAGTCAACAAGCGAAAAAAAATGTATTAATCAACCAGAGCCATACTGCTTTATCTTTTTCATTATTTTGATAGATTATTAATTTTTTTTGTAGTTATAAGACGTGGTAGACCATCATATTTGTATAACAATATTTCAACATAAGAAAAATTATATTTGGACTCACCAGTCCAAAAATAATAATTTCAGTAATTGAAAAGAAAAAAAATTTTAAAATAAGAAAATATAACACTTGGTTTATAATATCAGTTACATTGTTTAAAGCATTTTCATTTCCTCTTGCAGCGTTGTTCATGAAATTTCCCCTCTAGTTTATTTAGAGCATTGCGCTGTTTTTCAGTCTTAATTGAAGTTGATAAAACCATAATAAAATATATCTTTCCTAATCTTACTGATTTCACCAAATTTATATAAACAATAGAGATTTGGTAGTAAGTGTTATGAGTACATAATTTCTGTGAGATACATGTACTTTTAAAGCTTAAATGTAATGTATGAGGGCATGAAACATATTGATATATTTCATGTCATCTCAAATATGAGGCAGAAATCATATCGTATGTCGTTTTTGTTTGCCACTCACACATACATGAATTTTCATTTATTCAAATTGTTTCAAAGGTCGCCCGAACATTGTTAAAAGAAAATATTCCTTACGTCTTTTAACTCTAAATGAAGTTCAGAGCGAAAAAAATTATTCGTAAATTACACCATACAAAAGTAATTCAGAATATTTGGTTTTTGAATTGTCATTTTTGCTAGGTTACTTCGGAACGAATGTCAATTATTTCTGTTTATACTTATTTCTACTGTTAAATTTTTTTATGAGGGCGGACTCTCGAAAAGGAATTACAAGCAATCTAACGATAAATTATCCCTCAATTCACCACTGTTTTTGATCCTAGAAATCGATGTATTTAGCTCAAAGAAAGGTATCTGTCTTTTGATTTTTTTTTTGTCGTAGTTTAACAGAAAACACCGCCCAGAGCAAACAAATGATACTGAATGCATTTGTCTTTTGCCAATTTGATTCCACTTTGAAGTTTGCCGTTCTGTCACTCAACATGAACATTTCCCCGCCTAAAGTACTTGTTTATTGTCTAATACTAACTACGTCCCCCACTTCATAAGTTCGTAGCCAATAAAATTAAAAGCAACACCACCTGCCAGTTAAAACTTTAAAATAGAAACTCTAGTAACGAGGTTATTTCAAAAGGCTTTCTCGAACCCTCTGAGGACAAAATGAAGTTAATAGATCTCTTATATGATCAGTGCGTTTGAAATAACCTCCTTTACCCTTTAAATTTTCGCGTAAGGGAAGTTAAAAAGCAATTTTCAAATTTAAACTAATTCCTTCCATTCCTGTGTGTATTAGAAATCCGTAGAAATAATGAGAGGAAGTTTAATTTTGGTGATACTTCATTTGGAAGTGACGATAGTTGTATTCATATGGAAAAACAATTTTAATGAACTTAATGAGATACACCTGGATAAATGCTCATTTGGTTTGCTGGACGACGGTCAGTGTTTGTACTTAAATGTAGCCACGAAGATCTCAACATTGCCGTCAACACATTATAAAAGGATTGCTCGAAAAATCGTAAGGTAGTTCCTCAGAAGAATTTTTGGAGCCATGGGTAATCCCAGTTAAGTCTTGCCTCGAGTGTCTTTCTCAAGCGTACAAGAGCGGAAGAGAAACAGTCTTTAATATTGTTGGTATTGAAGATTTCAAGAATATCATTTCGAAGGTAAACTGATGTATAATACTCACTGAAATCAAGTGCACGCAGCCAGGATTTTATGCTCAGAGGTCTTCCCAGCTGAGAAATGTCAAGATAGATACATGAATAATTTTCCATAATATTCCACGGAAAAACAAAATACATTTTGAAACTGCTTTTCTACAAAATGATAATTGAGTGCAAAAGAAAATATATATTTTCACAATTTTTTTTTTCTGGACAAATACCAAATGCTTGTCCTAACCAAGAACATCTCTAGGTCAATGCATTTACGAATTAAAAAAAAATCGAATGCACTTTACTGGCCTAAAATCTACTTAAAAATTAAAGTTTATACTTCCCATTTGTTTTTCTTTTCTTTTTATTTTTTTGAAAAATTAAAATAAATGTCACTTTATTCAAAGCGAAATAATCAAGTACTCTTTTCGTCTGAGACATAAAGTTTGTCATATTCAACTGGCTGCAGTTAGAAGCCGCCTAACCGCAAATCCGAAATTGTATGTATTTATTTTGGCAGGACGCCGTTTTAATGAGTTTCTTGTCAGTCAAAACAGTTTATCTGGATTCTAAAGAGTGTTTAGAAGACAAAACAACTCAACCGCACGGAATCGAACATGAAGAAGGAAATTTTAGCTCGAAAGATTTAAAAGCAAAAGCAAATAATGACAAGGAAATCAAGCAAGAAGACGAAAGTTATAAGCCAGTGACAGGAAGTAATGACTGGCGATTTCCAACAAAGGAAAGAAGTAAGGGAAAGTCTATGATGATTTCGCCAGTATCAGCGAACTCTTCGTCGCTGATTGCGATAGGCAAGGGAGATGGAAAGACCAGAAAGATCGAGAGCGAAATTTTTATGTTAAAGCGTTCAAGTTCGGCACCGAATTGTTCCTACAAGCGGGCGAAAGTAACTAAACAAAAGTTTCGACTTCCTTGCATTCCCGATCTACAAGCATTGTCAATCAACGGCGAGCACCCAATTAAAGCGCTCTTCGTGGAGGGTAAAAAGCTTGGATCCGCGAGGAGGACGGGTATTTCACCAGATGCCCATGATAAGAATCAAGAATTGCCGAAAACTCACCCAAAAAGAATCATAAACAACAACATTGATAATCTTGCAAGAAAACCAATTCCCGGTATTGTAATCGACGGCAAGAAAGAACGTCACCATGGAGACTGGTACGAAGATGCACTGCCAGCCATTAACAAAGCTGATTTGCGCGTCAAGTCAGCTTATACCAGCTCGAGCAAAGTTTTTAACACTTACTTACAATCAAGATTTGGTAAAAGCGTTTACAGAGGCAGTTTCAGGAAAACTGGCACCAGCGGTGACAAAACTTTTCAAGTTTATTGGGCGCCAGTATTGATAAAGAAAAAAGTTTTAAACTACCGCACTACTCCCTCTAACTGCTCTCAAGAAAACGTTGGTGAAGCGATTGCTGTGGAGGAGGTCAGCAGCAAGCAGAGGAAGATTGTGATCGAGGGAAGTATTTATAATCCAGGAGGGGCTATGAGTCTAGTTCAGAAGTGAATTTTGAAACTCTTCACGCAGTCCTTTTAGTGGGCAATTGGGCAAATACATCAATAGGCAAAGAAAGTGTTAATCAATCAATTTATGAATATATATTTGCATAAGCACTGTAATTATCCCTAATTCATCTGGTCTAACTTGCTATCTCATGATGGACTAAACTAATATTATTTTCTGGCGAAAATCTTAAGAAATTTCAAGAGGTTTAAAATGAACTAGCTTTAAAATTGATACAAAAGAGAAACTGTTAACTTAGTAGCCCTTGTTTCACTAGTGTATGTGCAAGAGCTTCTTTACGCTTCTTTTATCGACTTTTGCGCAGTAGGATTTTTCTACATCTAGTGACCACTAATACAGTTAACCGGATTCCAAATAACATAACTAATTTTACCTGTTCGTATCCATAGTCAACACATTTTAGCAGATATACATTAGTGAATCAGCGTTTATGAAGTGAGAAAATTAATGAAGAATTGAATAAACAGTGGGTATAATACAGTTAATGTCTGATTGCTTAAATTATTTTCTTCGTTCCCCAGTCCTGAATTTTATATTATATACTTTCACGCGTTTGGTAACAAACCACTAAGTTTAGTATACCACGATCGAAGTAATAAATTAGCTCCGAGACTCAACTTAAAAATTTCTCCAAGAGTGCCATCCTAAGTTTTGAAATTCTAATTTCTTTGCATGGCTATCTAGGGGCGCAAAGCCTTTCAACTGCACGTTCTCTAAGGTCTTCAGTGACCTTGTTAAAGGCAAGGAAATATTCATTCGATTTTCTGACCAATTCTTGCCCGGGCATATGATGTTTTTCATGCTTCTTCGAAATATTCGACTCTGTGCGGCATAAACAAAGGGATTTGTACACGAATTTAATAATATTAAAAAAAGAAGAACCTTATTTATCGTGTACATTATTTCTGCTTCTAATACATAGTACCACACAACATAAAGAATCAAGTTTGGAATCCAGCAAATTCCGTAGATTATTGTTATTGTCAAAAGCATTTTGGTGACTTTCTGTCTCGATTTCCTCGTGGCTAATGATCTATGTTGCCTCGGTAATATCTCTCGTCTTAAATGCAGTATAACTTTCCCGTAGAAAAATGCCATAAAGCAGAACGGTGCTATTCCAATCAAAATTAACCAAGCGATATTGTAACTTTTTGCAAATGTCACATTTGGCCAATGGCTTTCGCAAATTCCACGCTGTTGATTGAGGCTTCTGACGTAAAACAGTGGGATGTTGAAGATAGCGGAAAGAAACCAACCGAGGCCAACTAAAATCTTAAGTTTTCTGCGGCTTAGCTTTGATCGTGTTTCAAGAGGAAAAGTAATGGCAGCGTATCGCTCGTAAGCCAATACTACCAACGTTGTCGCTGAAGACACCGCTCCAACCCAGGTGAATGTATCAGAAGTGATTGTTTTACATAAGATGGTTCCTTGCAAACCTCGAGGATGATGGTATAGTCCTTCGAGTATATGTCTAGGAGTGAAAGCTATCACGATTATCATATCACTTATGGCGAGATTCATTAGAAGATAATTCACTGGTGTCCTTAATATCGTGTTTTTCAAGATGGTAAGACAAACCAAAAGATTGCCCAGCAAAGCTGTCAGCACCAGCGAAGAGTGGACAACTTTGGTAATGAAGTTCTCTGTCTGCATGTTCCTCCTTTCAGGTTGCTGTTTTAATTTAAAGCTGTTGAGGTGAAAAGAAGGCGCATGACCATCATGATGTCTTAAGTAAGCATTTTTAGGCGTCGACCAAAGATATATATATTATAAAGCAAGAGAAAATGATCTATATATATAAATTTGAATATAATATCAAGCAAGAGAAAATTCTCAATTTATATCTGACCGACCGTCAAAATACCAGTCTCCAAGTTCTTGTTCAGATTTCATTTAGATTGAACAATGTCGCGTACTTGTACTTATCTGATTAGGTATTGTGCGCTGAAAACAAATATGTGAAGATCAAACATATACCACCAATATTCTCAACCAGCTCGCATCACAAGTCGAAGTCGTTTTCATTAAAATAAAGCCTGCGTGAAATGAAGTAGGAACTTGGCTGAATGTTTAACTTCCAACTTTTATGTCTGTTCTTTGCGCCAATCTGCCCAACTGTCATTGCGAATGCTCATGCAATGTACTCACTTGGGGGCAAATAAATGAAAACATTTGTATCGTAAAAAAGGGGGTGGAACTAAAATTATGGGTTTAAATGTTGAGGTAGTTTAATTAATTAACGGATTACTAAGAGAACAATCGGGGAAATATTCGCTTTTGTCTCATGAATCTTACAATTCGTTACAGTTCGGAGCCTAGAGAGGTACGTAACGGCAAACATGATTGAGTGGAGTGAAATGCCAAGAAAAAGTTATGAAAATTTGATGCGTTTTCAATTTAGGGGATGCCAGGTAATACGTAGTTTAGATATTTAAAGATTTTTGAGACTTTCAGAGACTCGAATACATGATACGTGTAGAAACAAATGAATATCAATCGACTCAAACAGTGTTGCTTGGCCAGCTGTGATAAAGACTTTGATATTTTATTCTTCAAATGAAAAAAGAGCTTTCGTATTTCTCATTAGTATTAAAGTCACTGATGAAGATGAACGCTACATTAAAGAGAATATATTGATGCGAGAGACGATCAAGTCTACTCTAGCTCTAAATAATTTATCTTTTCAATTATCTCGCTAGCTGGAAATTACGGTTGAAAGAGCTAATTTGGAAGCGCTTAATGATGAAACGAGGGCTTTCGTGTTTCTTATACGTATCGAAATCACTGTTGAAGATGAAGGCTACCTTAAAAAGAAAGAATTTATGTGAGATACAGTTAGGTTGTTTCAGCTCCAATCAATTTATTTTTTCAGTTATCTCGCCCGCTGGAAATCACTGTTGGATAAATTTATTGTAGAAGCGCAGTTATAATTTATGATTTGTTTCGTGGATTTCTTTATTCACTAGATGAATGACATATCTGATACCACTGAAACCTAAGTCAAAGAAGTTAGCACGCTATCATTACATGGTACATGTCAAGGTTCTTGAAAGTGAACCACCCACGTGCAATGTACACCTGTGTACCAAGCGGTAGCATATACGTTTATCAGGTATAACATGGTAACTCCCGTAAAAGTAAGCTTAGAAGACCCTGGAGTATACACAAAAGTCTAGATAATCTGCCGAAGAGATAGGTGGAAAATTTATCTTGTGATTAAAAGAGAATAGTGAGGGAAACTGTCATATGAATGTTGCCGTCCCTGCATTCATTTTTGCGCGAGTGCTGTTTCACATGCAGTATGCTCACTTGGAGTATATCATATTCTCCTCCCTTTCAATTTTCGACGTTTACTGCTCGGAACAATGTTAAATTCATTTGGTTAATGCAGTGTGATCCAATCTGCGTTTCATGCGCTATGGTCTGGCCAAGCACTTGGCACATGAAATATACATATGCTGAAAACATTTCAGGCCATGATATATTATGCTCGGACAAGAAGTTACTTTCGTTTGCACATTTTACCTTCGACCATCAAGGTCTGCTTTAAACATCCTACCTACTTGGTTTGATATCCAAATACATCTAAAACTCATGTGGCAAGGAAAATGTTGCTGCTTAGGATGCCGGACCCAGATTTTTGTGACATATTTCACTGAGATTAAAACAAGATTGATAACGTACTACCATTCATACCTCAGGTGTATTAATCCAAGTTGTGTCAGCTTTGTTTGCTTGGCAACAGCTGAAGACAGCTCTTTGTTTCAGTGACCACCCAAATTCTCTGCTGCTATAGAAAATTGATACTTAAATTAAAGACACCGGACCATAGATTTCTCCCTTTCGCCTTACGTTATGCCATTTCAGAAACATGACAGAAATAGCGTTTAAACTCCGGCCCGAGCGAAAAACGCTCAATAGTTTTTAATTTTATGGTAATTTGTAGTTTCCTGGAGCTCCTCCTTTTTGTTATTACCTTTCAGTAGCGATCTCAAACACAGCCAAAATGTTTTCCATCAATTATAACTTGTTGATCTCCACTTTCCGTTGCAGCTCCAAAATGATTTCACGGCTAAAATTTTACAGTCACTTACAGCGGATAAGGATCATCGACGATTCATGAACGTAGAATAAGTGACATGTCAAGAACATATTACGAAGAAAAAAAAACTTGAAAACCAGCCAAAGTCTTACAATTTTTATTTTCTTTTTCGCTTATATTTCACCACGAGTTATTTGCAAAAGATTTTTAAAGCGGTTGATGGAACAAAATATTTGGACATCAAAAGAAGACAGCTCTGTTATGCGAGTAGTGTCTTGCATGTATGTGCACTTCAAGTAATGAAGTAACCCTTTCATAGACAGATTTCGAATTTTGACGAGAGTCACGCAAGTACCTTTAAATGTCAGTGTCAACTCATTATCCCTTAGCTGACGGAAAATACCAGAAGGACAAAAGCCATTAATTAATTTCGAATTTCCATACCAGAGACAATTACATTCTACAGCTCGACATGCTGTTGGCACGGAATTTAAGCTAATAAAAATACCTTTCCTCAAGTTTCCATACCTGATAAAATGAAATAAAAGTGATGCACAAGAAAAAAAAAATCACATTCTTACTGACCTCTGCAAGTCAACCTTCTTATATTTCAAGATTGAGTACTGAAGCGCACTATGTCGATTCAAGCTGTTCTGTTGTTATAATATTTTAAAGTAGCCATTTGCCTTTGAACATCATTATCCAGAGTGAACTTATTTCTGGTACAGGAGAATAATCGCAATTTCTATATTTTACTTGCTGAAAACTGAAAGAAAAGTTGATGTCTCTCTAAATTTTACACACCCATATTAGCGTTTCTGAGTTTATCACGAACTTACTTAGTGAAAATTGAACAATCTGTCTTGATGTCAACCTCTTCATCAGGATACACTCACCTTTTCCAAACTAAAAAGTAGCTCAAAACAACAAAGCGTGTTGAACTTACGTTCTTAACGAACAGATGCACACGTTCTCGGTTGAAATATGCGAAATTAAAACAGGCTGGTCCGTTTGCAGAACATTACATAAACCAGTAAGTAAGATTGCTTTGCATTAGAATGGCTATACATGTTCTCTTAATTAGCCCCAAAACTATCTGTAGTTCTCTTGAATTTTTCGAATATGTTTGCAGATTATCCCAGTCTTTCAACGCCTACATAATGTTCTTGACATGGCGTTGGAACTGAAGACAGCGTATTGAAATTTGAAGCCTAAAAATACAAAGAACATAATAACTGGCAAATATATTCGTGCGCAAAATTCGATTCAGAGTACTCATTATTAGTACAGCGTACTAAACTTGGAGTGACAAGTAAAATGAACGTATGTAACGAAAATCGTGTGTAACAACTGTAAATATATGAAAATCATTGTGCACTGCAGTTAAAGAAACGAATATAGAAGCCACCCACGCAGTTATGAACAAAACTAAGTAGTAGTTGAAACAAGGCCTGAAAAAATTTCAAGCCAATTCAGGCCAATTCAGGCCAATTCAGGCCAATTAAAAAAATTCAATTTAACTACTAGTTCAGTGGTGTTCATAACTGCGAGGATCGCTTCTGTATTCAAAAATCGTGTGGTCTCTATTGTAAGTAGCTATTATAAATATTAATGGGGATGTGTTCATGTTTTAGTTACTTTCAAAAGTAAACCAGATTGTTGAGTTGTTATAATTAGAACTTAGTCATTATGCTGAACACCTTAACAATAGATGAACGCATCTCAGAAGAAATTTAACCATTATGACATCTCTCCTCATATTACTTATTCTCTCTAATGCATGAATTGAATGCAATCGTCTATCTTTGGATGGAGACCACATAAGTTCAAGTCCAGACACAAATAATGATAATTATGTATTGTTAAAAATGGAGGGTTTGATGTTGATGTCTTATTAAACCAAGCGAAAGCCAATTATTTTTCATCAACAATACATTGAAACAAAATTTTAAAAAACATATCCTCTTTGAGTTAATTGCAAAGTGTTAAGCGGACGTAGCAGTTTTTTTTAATTGCTAACACTCAAAACGCCTCAAATAATACCCCTTTTGTCATTTTGAACTGTAAAACTTGAATAAACCAAAACTACGAAATACGCCTTTTGTTCCAGCATGGATTATAATTAACAAGCTTATTAGCTTGGAGACAAAAATTTTATAGAAAGCATTTACCAATTAAACTCTTCCCGCTGTGGATATTTAACTGAGGACTAATAAAAATGATTTTTCGCAAAGCATGCAGTTGACGTGAGGTAAGACGATTTATCAAAATCTAATAATGAAATATGCTGTTGTTCAGTGGTTCAAAACTTTTGAATTTGCTGTGTATGGTTCAAAATGTTCGTGTGCTA